CTGCAGCTGAATCTTGAATAAAGAAAAGCTTGAGGTTTGCTTCCCTTCTCCCAAATAAGATATTGTTTCCACCTAAAACTTAAGAAGAAATATGAGAGAGAGAGAGGAGAGAGAGAAACCCCGAGGAGAAAGAAAGAGCAGAACAGGATGCCAATTGGCTCCATCTTGGTATCATGGCAACTCCAATGACTGCAAAGCAGGGCCCTGTTCTGTCATGCCAAAGATGGCCCCCATCACCGGTTCCTTCTAATGTATCAATGGCCTCAAGACCCATACCTCTCCCCTTCGCCTTGTGCTTCATTCTCCCAAGAGAGAGGAGGAGATTGGTTCCTTTCACCAGGAAAGCTGGACCAGGCTACCTTACAGGCTGCCGGTCAGCCAATGGGTGGCTTCTCTGGCTTGGAACTCACCCCTGGTCCAATCAGCTGAGAGAGGCCATTCTCATTCAGACCTGGGACAGAGACTGAGGCCGGGAGGCCTGTTGGCAATGTGTAGCACGACCAGAGCTGTGGTGTGAAATGCTTCTTGTGTAGAAGAATTCTAACCAGGGCTCATAACAGAGTGACTTGAGGGTGAGGACTGGACTTTAATGTCCGAGTCCCTTCACTGAGTGGCTCTATCCCCTCCTCAGAGACCCCTCCAAGGATTTGCTGATGGAAACTGGCTGCTCTAAGGGAGTCTCAGACTATTGGCAAAGCCATGTCAGGACCTGGGAGGTGGCAATACCTGGGGACTGGACATCAGGAGAGGGACAAACAGGTGTAGCCCATCAGCCCAAAACTTGGAAGGAAAACTTGGGCTGGGTCTAAGGGAAAGAGGACAGGACGGGAAGATGGAATTCCAGGTTGTGATGGATGCCTGTGGTGGGACTGTGCGCTTTCTGGGGCCCATCCTCCACTGCTCAGCCCTACCTTGGTCTTGGTCCAGGTGTCGGGGGACCTCTGTGGTTTTCATGAGTCTGCCTGGCATGCCAGAGGGGGTTGCCTTCTTCCCTGCTTACCTCAGAGGGGACAGCTAAGCCTAGTACTCTTTACCAAAGACTCTGGGGACTCCGGCTCCTGTTTTCCCCGGGATCATGAGTCTGAGCTCTAGCTATGACCTCACTCCAGGATTCCACACTTGAGTATCAAATGTCCACTGCTTCTAAATAAAGGACTGAATTTGAACCCAGGACACCTGACCAGCCTATGTGCACTTAACCATGGGACTAAATGGCCTCTGTAGGGGCAGCTGCTCTCCTGTGTCCATCCTCCTCTCTGCAAGTTGCTGCTCAGGCCTCATCTCTGCCTCCCTGGGCTGCAGGAATAGCCTCAGCCAAGGCCTCTCTCCTTGTCCCTTCTCTGTGGTTCACTGACCACAGGCAGCCACAGGGGGGTCCTTCCAGCAGAGGGCTCCAGGGTTGCTTTTCCTTGATTGCAATAGGAAGCTCAGATGCTTTGACTTTGTACAGAAGGCCCTTCATCCTCTCTCCTAACCCTCCCTCACCCCCTAGGAACCGTCATCAGAAGTCCCCACAGTCTACTCCATGCTCACGCCTCCCACCCAGCACCCCTGATGGAGGTGCCCCTTCTCCACCTCAGTAACTCACCCCTCAGGGCCCAGCTGGAAAACACGGCCTCCAGAATGCTTGCCCTGACCTCTCCGGTGAGACCCATGGCTCCCTCTCCTGGACTCCTGCATCCCACGCTCTCACAGGCCTTAATACACATTACACTCTGCTTCCCACGGCCTTGGCAGTGGGGACTGCATCCCCCGGATTCCAGGGTCTCCAGACCCAGGGCAGGTGTCTGTGAACAGTGGTCAGAGGAATGAACCCTCACTTGGGGTCTGCCCTGTGGTTTCTGGGCAGGTGCCCCGTGCTGGCTCAGCGCCTGATACACGGCAGGTGGGCAGGAAATGCTTGTTCTTTTCTGGGCTGGGCAGTTGGTGCAGACGTGTGAAGATGAAGCCAGCACTTCATTCTGAGAACTGGCCGTGCTGTCAAAGCCCTTTCGGGGCTGACTGCCTCTCTCAGGATACATTTCTAAGGAGAAGCCCTGGCCTGGCAGAGGACGCAGATGAGAGCCAGGGCTAATGGCAGGGGACAGCTGTCCGTCCAGCAGGTGCTCCTCTCAGGAGGAAAATACAGGGCTCCTGCTCCTTATAGGGCCAACACCCTTGTCTGTCATGTGGCTCAGAGGAACCAAAACAGGGATGCACACCAACACCGACCCCTGTCCCCCTCAGGGCTTGTCATTTCACCTGTCAAGTAGGCACCATCATCCCCACCCCACTGAGCTCACTGCGGCCAACTGCACACACAGCCAGCTGCACTTCGAAAATAAAGACTCCATGAATGCATCATACAAACGAACAGGTTGTAATCAGACCCAGGAGCCGGGGCAGAGGGAGAAACAGGGCAAAAGCCAGCGTATGTGCTTAGGGATCCTGTCCCAAGTCCCTTGAGGAAAAGAAGCACGTGGTGGGCAGGAGGGACAGCACCTTCATGGAGGAGGGAGATGGGGGCTGTGTCCCAGCTCTACCATGGGCAGGTCACTTCCCCATGGGACTTGGTTTCCTCACCTGTACAGTAAGGGAGACACAGTCCCTGCCCAGTTCCTTCCAAGGGCTTTAATGAGGCTTAGTGAAGGAGTGGGTGTGGAAGAGCTCTTCACAAATGGAAAGTCCACTGTATGCAAGCAGGCTGACTGCTCTTCTTGAAGCCAGGCCCGGTTGGGTTCTGGGAAGTGGGGATATTAAATGTTGGCCAAGAAAAATACTCTATTAACTGGGCATGGCGGCGCAAACCTATAATCCCAGCAACTTGGGAGCCCGAGGCAGGAGGACCCTCAGCAACTTAACAAGACCCCGTCTCAAAATAAAAAATAAAAAGGGCTGGGGACGTAGTTCAATGATGTCTCTGAGTTTAATCCCCAGTACAAAACAATAACACTGAGGACCAGGTACGGTGGCACACACCTGTAATTCTAGTGGCTCGGGAGGCTGAGGCAGGAGGATTGTGAGTTCAAAGCCAGCCTCAGCAAAAAGCAAGATGCTAAGCAACTCAGTGAGACCCTGTCTCTAAATAAATAAAATACAAAATAGGGCTGGGGATGTGGCTCAGTGGTTGAGTGCCCTGAGTTCAATCCCCAGTACCAAAAAGAAAAAACAAAACAAACCAAAAAAAAAAAAACCACTGAGGCTCAGAGCCGGGTCCTTTGAGTACCCTCAGATCCTCAGCACCTCTTCCTTCATGCTCCCTTCAACTTCCCTGGCACCTTTTGCCCTGCGTGGGAGAGAGGACTATCGGGAGGCTGGGGCCCAGGACAAGGAAGAGCCCCTGCCCTGGGTGGCCCCACCTCCCACTTTGATTGATTGGAGGTCCAGGCTGCATCAGCTGCACCTGCAGCCAGGCCTGCTGGCCGTTCCGCTCGGGGTCAGCAGGTGGAGTTCTTGATTAACAGATGCAGTCTTGATGGTGGGGGAGGACCTTGGTCTTCAGCCTCTTTTCCTTGATTGCCACTTCTCAATGTGGTCTTCTGTGAGTCTAGATGAAGTCCGTTCTCTGTGGGGCCTAGAATGATCTGTGGTGGATTCTTTCTTGCAGAACCCCAAGTAGCCAGCAGCCAGGGATGGAGAGTGGCTTCTGCCGCCTCCTGCGCCTGCAGCCAAGAGCCTGCCCAGCAGAGGCCTGAGCTCAGCTTGTCGTCCCTTCTGGGCTGGGTCTCGGCTCCCGGAGAGGTGCTGAGAAGGGGGCTGCCAGGAGCCCTGACAGGCCTTTCAGAGCAGTGCCTTGAAGAGGAAGGAGAGGGAGGCTCCGCAGGAGAGTCCCAGGGCCAGGAAGAAGGTCATGAGGGCGCCAGCCACCTCCCTCTCATGCGGCAACACCTGCCTGGAACACAGGGGAATAGAAGCTCTTAGAAAATGCCAGGCCCAAACCCCGGAGTAGGCCTGTGGTTCCCCGCCCGCCCCTACACAAGACCCCTGAATTCCAGTCTGTGTGTGACCCCATTCCTGAGTTTAGTTTCCCTGTATGTAAAATAGGGCCACTGAACAGACACCTTTCAGGGCCTTTGGGGTCCAACATTATAGGATTCTAGATCTCATGGCCTTCCTTCTTGACAAAATGCCCTCCAGCTTGTTCTCCATGTCACCTGACTCTCCTGAGATTCCCAACTCCCCTGCCCGTAGAGGAAACAGCCCATGAGCTTTGCTTTTGAAAAAAAACCTTAGCGCCCTTTTAAATGAGAATCTCTGCACTAAATGGGCTCTAAGGAAGGACTGTCCAACCCATTTATTTATATCAGGGGAAACTGAGGCCATCCCAGAGGCCCCAGAACCAGTGCCCAGGCTACGTAGGCAGGTACCTTCCAGCCAGAGGCCAGCTCAGCAGTGAAGGCCTGACCCACAGGGTGGCGCCAGTGAGGCGTGGGCACAGCCAGCAGGGCGAGCCAGGCGGCCAGCTCCCTCCCTGGCAGCTGTCCCTCCTCAAAAAGCCAAGCCCCCTCCCCACCCCAGCACCTGCCCCCAGACCTGGGCGCCAGGCACATGGTGAGGGACACCAGGTAGCCATTGGAAACGGCGAAGAGCAGCATGAAGGTGATGAAGTAGGCGTCCTGAGGGAAGAGGATGGGCAGCCGGGCCCGCTCAGGCACGTGGCACAGCATGAAGAGTGGCACGAACAGGAAGCGCAGGCACACCAGCAGGGGCAGCAGCCGGCTGTCCTCATCTGGCTGTGGCACAGGCTCGGGTGAGTGCTTCCCCAGGACACCCACGAGAGACCCATCAACCATCCCCCGAACTCCTCTGCCCTGACCCAGGACTGGGGCCTCTAAGGAACAAGGACTGGGCCATGGCCGCCCAACAACCAGGACAGGCCTGGGGCTAGCCTTGGCCTCGCCCTAGCTCTAGTTTGGGCTTTCTCCAGGGAAGAATTGAAGAGGCCTTAGAAAGCATCCCTGGCTTCCAAACTCAGTTCCCCAGGGCATCCCTAGGGGTTCCATAGCCTCCTTAGGGGCAGATGGCTTTCTTTTCCTTTAAATTTATTTTATTTTAAAAAAATTTTTAGTTGTAGATGGACACAATCCTTTTTTTCTATTTTATTTTTATGTGCTGCTGAAGATCAAACCCAGTGCCTTACGCGTGCTAGGCAAGTGCTCTACCACTGAGCTATAGCCCTAGCCCTCTTTTCCTTTTAGTTTTTTGATTGGCACATAAAAGTTGCACATACTTATGGGGTACCATGTGATGTTTCAATTAGGTACACTTCTAGCATTCAAATCGGTGAGCATATCTGTCTCTTCAAGCATTTATCATTTCTTTTTTTTTTTTAATTTTATTTATTTTTTAGTTTTCGGCAGACACAACATCTTTGTTGGTATGTGGTGCTGAGGATTGAACCTGGGCCGCATGCATGCCAGGCGAGCGCGCTACCGCTTGAGCCACATCCCCAGCCCCGCATTTATCATTTCTTGGTGGTAAAAAACATTCAAAATCCTGTCTCCTAGCTTTTACAAAGTATATAGTACATTATCATCATCTATAGCCACCCTGCTGTGCAACAGAACCCCACAACATATTTTTCCTATACAAATATAACTTAATACTCAACATATGACCTCTCCCAGATGGGGTTTCTTAGTAGGATGGGAAGCTGGAGATCCGGGCCCATCCTGCCTGGATCGGACAGCAATGTTCTGCTGCATTTCTAATGTCTCTAAGGGAGATTTCACTTAGCACCTTGCTAGAAGCAATTTGGAAACAAGGAATCTTGTTCAACCCCTCACCAGGTATAGGAAACTCCACATGACATTCTCTGAACACGGAGGGCTGGGTCCTGGGCTGGACACTGTGGACACAGAGGTCAACTCTGGATAGCTTCCATTTTCGAGAAGCTCAGCCCAGGCTTGCATGTGCCAGAGGCCAAGCGCTTACTGCTGCTTGGCAGGCTCTTTCACTGCAGACCAACAGGACTACTAGGAAGTCACTTTTTGCAATTTCATGTCCTCTGGCCACCCCCAACTGCTTCCTATAAATTGGCAGCTTGTCCAGCCCAGCTGTGCTCACCCACAGAAAGTATGAGGTCAGGCTCCGCCCCAGCCAGTCCATGACGTTGAAGAGCAGGAAGCAGCAGATAGGGTTGAAGAACTGACCTGGGGGAGACAAAGGGTGGCTCACCCTGGTCCCTGACTCTCCTCTCCTGTCTCCCCCTATCATTTTCTGTACCCCAACACTCACTCCATTTCCCAGGACTGGTGGAGCTGGTCACCATGGCTGTGATGGCAGGGAAGACGGACAGGGTGACTGTGAAGACCAACACAAGGCACAGCGCCATCAGCCAGATCTGGGAGCCGGAGGCAGGGGTGTGAGCGGGCAGGGCAGCCCCGGCCCAACACGGGCCCCAACCTTCTCACCCCAGCCCCAACCTTCTCACCCCAGCCCTGCCCGGGTGTAGGACACCAGAGGCCTGGCCCAGTTGTGTCCATGACCTGCCATGACCCTATGACAAGTGGATATGAAGACCCCATTCTAGCCTAAGAGCGTCTGCTGAGGACTGGAGAGGGGGTCCCACCCTTCTTCCCCAGGAGTGGTGGCTGGGGTCATCTCCCAGCTGTACCTTCTGGAAGACAATGAAGACTGAAGGTTTTTCTAGCTTCTGGGGCTCATCTAGCTCTGGTTCCAGCTCGGGCTCCTTCTCAGGGTCAAGATCTGGAGTCAGAGTTGCCACCTGGGGGCTGTTGGGAATCCCATTCTTCTCATCTGGGGCAAGAAGGAAGTGTGGGGTCATGTGATCTAGGTCTCCCAACAGTCAGCCCTGAAGGAGGAGGATTCCCAGCAGTTAAAACAAGTGACCCTTCTCCAGCCCAGGGTACCAGCAAAGGGCAGCAACGGTGGCAGTATGCCACCTATTTATTAAGCCCATGTGTGTGCCAGGCAACAAGTTAAGTGTCTCAGATGAGTTGTCCCATTGCCTGCTATTGCTTTGCAAATGAACAAACAGGCTGGAGGAGTGAAGTGGTCTGGTGACTTTTCTAAGGCCACTCGGCTTAGGTGTTGTGAAGCAGGATTCAGAGCTCGCCTGCAAGAAGCTTCGCTGCTTTCCCATTTTTGTTTTTGTTTTTGGTACTGGGGAGTGAACCCAGGAGCACTTTAGCACTGAGTTATGTCCCCAACCTTTCTCTTGAGTCAGGGTCTCACTAAGTTGCTTAGGGCCTTGCTAAGTTGCTGAGGCTGACCTTGAACTCAGCCTCTTCATTTTAAAGAGCAGACAACTGAGGCCCAAAGAGCAGCAAGGCAAGACTTTAATTTCAGACTTCCCTTTGAGATCTTCCTGTGCTCACCCAAGGCTCTGGAGCAGGTCATGGTGGTGCACACCTACAATCCCAGCGGCTGGGGAGGGTGAGGCAGCAGGTTTCAAAGTTTGAGACCAGTCTCAGCAATGTAGCAAGACCCTGTCTCAAAGTAAAAACAGGGCTGGGGATGTGTTCAGTAGTTAAGTACTGGTGGGGTCAATTTCTGGTACAAAAAAAAAAAAGCGAGAGAGAGTACACAAGGCTCCTAGGAGCCAGGTTTAGTTAGGGAAAGAGTGGAATGCTTCCAGCAGAACTGGCTCATGCTTCCTCTGGGTATCCCACCTCCTCAGCGAGGTCCTGGGGCTTACCAGCCTGGAGGAGCTCAGCTTTGGTCTCTAGCTCGTGAGTTGGGGACCGTGAGGGCTTCTTGGCCAGGTAGTAGTGGGCAAACTCCTGCAGAAGGATGGAGAGCATCAGGACGGCCAGGTGAGGTGTTTGGATCCCTCCGCACACCCCTGGCTTGGAGGCCAGGACACCCCAGTGAGTGGACATGGGTCTCTTCTGCCTCCCCTGTGCTCTCCCAGAGCCTCACTCAGGGCTCTGAGATGCCCTGAGATGGGCCCTGGAACCCAATGGCAGACTCACCAGGTGTGGTAGGCTCAGGTAACACACGATGGACATGAGGATGCCCACACAGGGCGTGATGAAGTATCCCAGGGCAGAGGTCTGGGCATCCACACCACCTGCAGAGGAGAAGGGGCTGGTTCTGCAGCTCCCATGTAGCCTCTAACTCCTGTCCTCCTTCCCAGAGTGCACTTCTCAGATGCCCAGCCTCTTCCCTTTTCCTTCACTGACTCTCATATGATGCCCCAGTCTGGCCCTTCATCCTTCTCTTTTCTCTACATGCCATTTAATATTTTATTAGTTGTTGATGGACCATTGTTTTTATTTATTTATATGCGGTGCTGAGAATCAAACCCAATACCTCACACATGCTAGGCAAGCGCTCTACCACTGAGCCACAACCCTGGCCCTCTACATGCCATTTTGTTGAGCATCTACTATGGGGCTTTCTCTTACTGCAGGCTCGGTACAATCTCAGTAGGAACTGTAATAATCACTTATGTGGGGAAATTATGGCAGAGAGGTTAAATGCCCCATCCAATGTGCCCAGCTAGTAAAGGCTGAGATGGATTAAAGCTTGTGTCTATCTCAAACCTACGCCCCGTCCCTTAACCTCAATCTGCTAGCACATATCAGGGTTGACCCCAGGATCCCCTTCCTGGTCATTCTCCCTCACTGCAGAGCCCAAGGGTCTGGCTCCCAGGCCCAACGCCCACTTCTCCATTACTCCATCACCTCTGTCTCCATCAAAAATCCAGGACCTTCTGCATACCCTCTGTGATCCCAAACCTCAGAGGCCACCCCACACCTCCAGCAATCCAAGTCCACTCACTGGCCATGGACATAAGCATGGCAAGGGCAGCGAAGATCCCAGCCAGGCCCTGGCCGCTGAGGAAGAGGGTGCTGTAGGTGGATGGCATGGTGCCCAGCTGCCCGAAGAGGCTTCCCTGCAGAACTGCACAGAAGGCTGAAGAGAGACAGGGACATGGCTGCCGCTCAATAAGGCAGTCTTAGGGGCTTCTGGGAGGAGGC